GCGGGACTCGATCCCGGGACTCCAGAATCATGACCTGAGCCGAAGGCAGTCACTTAACCAACTGAGCCCTAGAATTTTTTTTAGGAAGAAATTTAAATATTTTTTAAACCTGACAACGTGATACTCTTGCAAAAAGATACCTTTAAAGAAACTCTTATAGAAGGGTAGGTGGTGAAAAGTTTGTCTCAAGATCCAGAGCCCCTTCCTTCTGCAGGAAAGATTGTTAGGTTAATAATTTTTAAAATTATTGTAATACTAGTTCTCAACTTGTGCCACACATTAGAATCACCTGGGGAGCTTTAAAAAAGATGTTGATAAGACAGAGTAAGAGAAAAGCAGGTGGAGAAAGCCGACCACCATGACTTTGGCTGAGGTGACTGTGGCTGGTGTTCAAGGTCAGCATCAGCAGTGAAAACTGTTCATAGTGTGACCTTGAACCTCATCATAGTGTGATGAGAAGGGCATTGCGTCTCTGGGCTTTCTCCCCAGAACCCTTAATGCCAGTCTAATTGTAAGAAAACGTCAGACAAATCCCAGCCTAGGTACATTCTATGAAATATCTGACCAGTACTTGTCAAAACTGTCAAGGTCCTATAAACAGGGAAAGTGAGGAACTGTCACAGACTGGAGGAGCCTCACGAGACCTGACCTCTAAATGTAATGTAGTATCCTGGATGGAGCCCTAGAACAGAGAAAGGACGTTAGATAAAAACTGGGGGAAGTCTGAGTAAATTGTGGACTTGTATCAGTCTTGGTACGGTAACTGTGACAGATGTACCCTACCAGTGTGGGTGTTAATGATGGGAAACTGGGTGGCAGGTAAGTGGGAACTGTATTATGGTCTCCGTTTCTCTGTAGATCTAAGATTGTTCCAACAAGTAAAGTCTGTTTTTTTTTAAAGGGTGTTGTCAGGGACTGCACCAGCAATTTTTATATGATTGATATGGGATAAGGCTTGGCCTTTGATATTTTTTTGGAAATTCTCTTGTTGATACCAACGTGTAGCCAAAGTTGAAAATCACTGTATTAAGTGATCAAAACTGGGGATGCAAGTGACCTGATTTTAAGTAAAGACCTAGCTAAATATTATTATTATTATTTTTATTTTGTTTGTTACCATTAGCAGATGGTTTTTTTTTTTTAAAGATTTTATTTATTTATTTGAGAGAGAGAATGAGAAAGAGAGAGCATGAGAGGGGGGAGGGTCAGAGGGAGAAACAGACTC